TAGACACTCTGATTACATGTAAGTTGTTTATAGTTTCTAATACTAGACACACTGATTACATGTAAGTTGTTTATAGTTTCTAATACTAGACACTCTGATTACGTTAACATATAACACGAAATTGTTGTGTATTTGTAAACGTTGAATGTTGTTACTTATTTTATAACAAACATTAAACTTACGGAAGCAGTTTATCGTTTCGAAAGCTAGACGTTAACTATATGTTGATGGTTCATCGTTTCGTTCTGTCGAAACATGTGTTATGTTCCTCAAAATCGTTGTTTATTGAATCATAATTGTCTTTCATACTTGATGTGGTTACTAAAGCTTCTCTCTCTATATATTGGTAGCGAACTACAAGATATAAATCTCTTATAAAACTGCGAAGTAATTCTGTCGAAATTTAATATCTCTGCAACTTTGTTGTTTTAATTAAGGAACGTAAAAGCTATTTAGTAGTTTTAGTTTAGTTTAGAGGATGGGACAGCCGAAATGGACCAATAGGTCACTTGTTGTCCCCAAACATTATGTTATGCTATATTAAAAGCTTACATGATTCTATAACATTGTTGGATGTTTTTTTTTGCATCAAGTTCCTCAGAAATAATTTAAATCGTTCCTTTGGTTTCAAAAGATATCACATCAGCTATAATTATTTGATTTAAAAATAGATCACAGTCGATTACTTTAAAACTTGTGCTATTGTTTCACCGATTAATTTTAATAGACATGGTTTGATCTCGTTTAGGCTTACTGTTATTATGATTGTTCATTTCGTCTTGTGTTTCACAGCTACAACGTTAACATCCTGGTCCTTACCTACATCCTGCCGATCTCCTCTATGACATTTACCTACTTCCGAGTAGGCCTAGAGCTGTGGGGAAGCAAGACTATAGGGGAGTGTACAGAGAAACAGTTGGAGGCAACCAAATCAAAACGAAAGGTCAGTCTGTGATTTATCTTAAAAAACACCAACAAATGGTAACTCAAAGAAATGATTTACACGTGCATGCTACTGAAAAAACACAGAAACAAACAAAAGCCATAAAGTCTAACTTTATTATCACTGTAACTGTTTTACTGAAAGTCTAACTTTGTTACCACTGTAACTGTTTTACTGAAAGTCTAACTTTGTTATCACTGTAACTGTTTTACTGAAAGTCTAACTTTGTTACCACTGAAACTGTTTTACTGAAAGTCTAACTTTGTTATCACTATAACTGTTTTACTGAAAGTCTAACTTTGTTACTACTGTAACTGTTTAACTGAAAGTCTAACTTTGTTATTACTGTAACTGTTTTACTGAAAGTCTAACTTTGTTACCACTGTAACTGTTTTACTGAAAGTCTAACTTTGTTACCACCGTAACTGTTTTACTGAAAGTCTAACTTTGTTATCACTGTAACTGTTTTACTGAAAGTCTAACTTTGTTACCACTGAAACTGTTTTACTGAAAGTCTAACTTTGTTATCACTATAACTGTTTTACTGAAAGTCTAACTTTGTTACCACTGTAACTGTTTTACTGAAAGTCTAACTTTGTTATCACTATAACTGTTTTACTGAAAGTCTAACTTTGTTACCACTGTAACTGTTTTACTAAACAATCTATCTCTTGTATCAATTTTCTACATTGATCTCAGAGTGACGAATTAGTATTACTCTTTATGGTAGACCACGTTGATTATTTTAATAGCGATTTTAATGTGGATGTAAAAGATATAATGCTTTAGTAACTTTCAGGCCAGTCAGTAATTAGGCCTATGTTGTTCCACATAGACGTCATAAAAAAGTGATCAAAAACACATTTCAGTTAATAAACAACAAAAAAGTTCTAAAGCACCAAATAATTTAATCAAACTAATTATGTGAGCCATTGTTCCATGTTTGTTTAGCGTCCATTATGATGTCCCTTTACTAATTATGTGAACCATTGTTCCATGTTTGTTTAGCATTCATTATGATGTCCCTTTACTAGGACTATAACCTGATCAACTGGAGTATAAAACCGTGATCTAAGAATTAACCTGTATGAGTTCTCATCATAGCACATTGTTAGAAAAATTTATCATCGCTACTCTGATGCACCTAACCTAACCGCCACTATTCTGATGCACCTAACCTAACCACCACTATTCTGATGCACTTAACCTAACCACCACTATTCTGATGCAACTAACCTAACCATCGCTATTATGATGCACCTAACCTAACCACCACTATTCTGATGCACCTAGCCTAACCATCGCTATTCTGATGCACCTAACCTAACCATCGCTATTCTGATGCACCTAACCTAACCGCCACTATTCTGATGCACCTAACCTAACCATCGCTTTTCTGATCCACCTAACCTAACCATCGCTACTCTGTTGCACCTAACCTAACCGCCACTATTCTGATGCACCTAACCTAACCATCGCTTTTCTGATCCACCTAACCTAACCATCGCTACTCTGATGCACCTAACCTAACCATCGCTATTCTGATGCACCTAACCTAACCGCCACTATTCTGATGCACCTAACCTAACCACCACTATTCTAATGCACCTAACCTAACCATCGCTATTCTGATGCACCTAACCTAACCAACGCTATTCTGATGCACCTAACCTAACCGCCACTATTCTGATGCACCTAGCCTAACCATCGCTACTCTGGTGCACCTAACCTAACCACCACTATTCTGATGCACCTAACCTAACCACCACTATTCTGATGCACCTAACCACCACTATTCTGATGCACCTAACCTAACCATCGCTATTCTGATGCACCTAACCTAACCATCGCTACTCTGATGCACCTAACCTAACCATCGCTATTCTGATGCACCTAACCTAACCACCACTATTCTGATGCACCTAACCTAACCATCGCTATTCTGATGAAGTGGATCAAGAATTCTGACTGAGGCACATTATTAAAAACATACACCATTACTATTCTGATAAATACATTATTAGAAACATACACTATTACTGTTCTGATGAATACATTATTACGAACATGTATCATTACTGTTCTGATAAATACATTATTAGAAACATACACCATTACTGTTCTGATGAATACATTATTAGAAACATACACCATTACTGTTCTGATGAATACATTATTACAAACATACACCATTACTGTTCTGATAAATACATTATTAGAAACATACACTATTACTGTTCTGATGAATACATTATTAGAAACATACACTATTACTGTTCTGATGAATACATTATTAGAAACATACAATTTTACTGTTCTGATGACTACATTATTAGAAACATATACCATTACTGTTCTGATGAATACATTATTAGAAACATACACTATTACTGTTCTGATGAATACATTATTAGAAACATACACCATTACTGTTCTGATGAATATATTATTAGAAACATACATCATTACTATTCTGATGAATACATTATTAGAAATATACACTATTACTGTTCTGATGAATACATTATTAGAAACATACACTATTACTGTTCTGATGAATACATTATTAGAA